AGCAGTAGCGGAAGCGGAAGAGGTAGTGGCAGCCATAGCCATAGTGATAGTCGTTGTCTGCTACTGCTACTACTGCTACTACTACTACTACTACTACTACTACTACTACTGCTACTGCTACCACTACTACCACTACTGCTACTACTTCTAGTCTAGTACTACTTTACTTACTTACGTATTGGCTTACGTACTTACTTATTTATTACTGCCCGAAAATGCTGCTCCTCATGGTCGTTACAGTGCGCACCAATCCCGAATCACAGTTGCAGGCCTCGTCCCCATCCAGCCGCGACAAGAGCGCGGATGACCTGGACCCAGAACGTGGAAGCTTGAATAGAGCGGGTTTCGAGCCTTTCGAAGACCGAGGATTCGGGTTGTTAAGAGCAGCCCGATACCTGTCTTGAAATGCATGCAGGAGTTCGGTGAAGGGCCTAAGTCTGAGGTTGCCTCGATTTCACCTGCAATTTCGGCAGAAACATGCGGCCCGGAAACATACTGCTAGCTGTCCGCACTCATTCCAGCAGGAGTTGAGCACATTGCTTCCTTGGTGTCTAGTAAGGCTACTGTGACCAAGTAACTTCATGACGAGCTTTTTCCATCCTTGTAAACGAGGTTCTGTGGTGGTAGCTTACGTTGCTTTAGTGCTTGCATGGTACCAGCCAAATAGAGTGCTCTGTACCAATACATGCGCATGCAGGTACATACACACATGCCTGTGTCTACACATGTATGCAATATGTATGTATCTGTGTGTGTAGGTGTGTACGTATGAATGTATGTATGTACGTATGTATGCATGCATTTACATGTGTACGTATGTACGTATGTTCTTATGTACGTATGTATGTATGTACGTATGTACGTATGTACGTATGTACGTAATTATGTATGTATGTATGTATGTATGTATGTCTGTATGTATGTATGTATGGATGGATGGATGGATGGATGGATGGATGGATGGATGGATGGATCGATGAATCGATGAATCGATGGATGCATGCATGGATGGATTGTGGGTGGATGGGTAGATAGGGCGGCAAGTAGGCAGGTATTTAGGTGATGCGTGTAGGCAGGCAGGTAGCTCCGTGGGTATATCTATATCCGTATCTATGTCTAGATAGACGCAAACCCGGCATACCACATCTTCAAGCGTGTACTAGGATGTGCCAAGCCAGAATGGAGCCCGGGGATCCTGCACCGCTGAAGCTTGACCTCGTCAGGCGAAAACCACACGGCTCTGGCAGTAAGATCAAGCATGTAGGGTTTGATGTTGGGTTGTCGTGGTATTTCCTGGCATGTGTCAGTCATGATACATGCTGACAGCGACCAGGATGGTTTTTGGCATGCTTTAACGAACATCTTACAAGGGAGCACGAATTATTCGAAGAAGAGGGAATGCACAACTGCCCGCCCCACCGCCCTGACACACACACACACACACAGACTGACAACGTACGGAGTCGTACATAAATACACATCTTGTCCGTGCGTATCTGTCTTTTCTGTCAGCAAGCGTCTTGTAAGTCCCCAGTTCTATGTGACACATTGTGAATATGTTATGTTCAATGTCTGCGTTCTACCTTGCCCGTCATACCGTTTCCATCTTCAATGACCACTCTAAACGACTAAGATGCCAACTCCCAAACAATCATCTTCAAACCCAAGATGTTCGACATCTGAGGCACGGAAGGCTTGCAAAAACACCCCTGCTGTAAAAGTTGATATCTCAGGCACCTGCAGAAATTTCAATCTAGAACAGCACGACTAATTATGTCTTGTATGAGGGCCTCAACTACTTGGACTTTGATTTCGGGTATCCAATAGAATCAATGTATCAGAACTACGTCCCCACACCTGCGTACATTTAGACATACCTACCCTGTGTGTGCGTGTGTTTCTCTAAAGTAAGCTGATATGTGGCTTAGAAAGTCCCGTGATCCTGCACGTGCGAGGTAAAGCTCCCCAAGCTGCAAAGGCCAACCCCCCAAACTTTGGCGCCCCTGCACTCCAAGCTTCCCTAATAGCAAAAGCCTGTGCTCTAAGGCAAATGCTGGAGCAGCGAACGAGGGAGCGGCGGAGCTGCCGAACCTGCAGGCGAAACAGAGAGGAGGTAGTTCGGGCGGCTCTTAGGTTGAGGGTTTCAGGGTTTGGGTTTTTGGGGTTTCTAGGGCTGAAGGTTTGCAGCTAAGGTATGCCAGGCACAACAAAGAGAATTAGAGCGAAAGAAAAATTAGGGCACTGTACTTGCGGTTTTAAACTCAGGTCCAAAGATACATGCGCCACGGCTTGACGCAAAGGAAAGAAGTCCGAAAGATGCACCCTGCTCATAAGCCCCACATGAACCTTTGCAACCCTGCCACTCCAAGCCAGAAAAAAAGCCCCTACTATCTCTATTGCTGACCCAAATGTCAAACCAGTAACCCAGGAACTGAACCGTGTTTCCAGAATCATTGGGCTGAGTCACGTTATTGCATACGTTATCTGTGGCCAGAAGCAGAAGGAAAACAACTGCATTCTACGCTGCGTTACGTCTAACCCCATGTACTAAGTCCACGGGTCATCTGACCCTGACCGCGAAGAACTGTTTGAGAAATTGCAGTCTTGGGTTGCGGGTAACCTTCTGACGCCCCTCAACCACGACCCCAAGCCAAAACAACTCAACCTTGAGCCCGAGTCCGGCTTGAAATCCTCAACCAACTTCTGCGCCTCCTCGAGATCGGGCCTGGGAACTTCACTGAGAGGATCAGAGTGATGACGCAAGATTATCAAGGAGGCATGTCATAAGCTTCTTTCTAAACGAGTATAACACGGCGCTTGATGAGTTTCAATAGGCATTTCCTGCCGGGTTGCATCAACGGGGTTGCATAGGGTTCAGGGTTCCCTATTGCAAGAACATGTACGTACTCCAGTGCGAGGTACGAAACCACCCGTTTTCTCCTGCTAACCGCACCCGACCAGCATGCAGCAAAATCGTTTAACAACCCACAAGGCTTACGACCCACAGTGCGCAGCAACTGATTTCCCAGCTTCAAGAAGCAAGTTTTACACTTTACACAGGAAGCCGAACCACATGGTTTCCAAACAAAGATATCTGCTACGAGGATGGCGCGTAACACAGCAGCGAAAAGGCATCCAGCTGGAAACGGCGAGTGGCTGAGTGGCTCACACTGGAAGCAACCTTCCCCCAATCCCGGCGGCGTCGCCAGCAGCAAAAGCATCAACAGCTGCAGGGCCGAAAACTTTCCGGGCGCACAACCAGATGAACCGGCGATTGCAAGCGAACTACACGAAAGGTGCGCATTGAGTCGGCAACAGTGGCACGGGCACAAATCCTTCCTTCCCTTGGCAGACGCACGCACTTACAAGCCAAGCACGCATGCAAAACAGGTGCACACGGAAACTTTTCCAAAACCCTTGACCAGCTTGTCGCGGTCGGCCGCAGCGAAACAGGGGAGCCTTCTGAAGAGCGAGGTTTCAGCGTTCTCCCTAGGCACGGAAACACATGCAGTTGCTGCCAATTTTCCTTGCAGCAGAACGGCCCCCGCGAATGACCTGACATCTAACTTGTCTCGAAGGGGGTGGAATGTGAACCTCCAAGTTACGACTTGGCAGGAACTTTGCATGGAAACGAGAAACTCGTACACCCAGTTGCCGAGTTCGGTGGCCTAAATCAAGCTAACGTTTGAATTAAGATGGGGGAAGCACAAGAGCGGCGAAGGCCAAACATTGACTTCTTGGCTGCTACGCACACTGTCTTGCGGGCCCAGGTCGCACTTCTTCCAACGATCTTCTTCTTCCAGCAGACCCAAACTGTAATTAAACTGCTCACACCTCAGACCCCAAAATCCAAAAGGCCGTACTCCTTAAACCCCACCCTCAGCCCAAGAGCCTTTACACTAAGCCCCAAAGCCCTGAAACCCCAAAAACCCCAAACCCGAACAGCGCCAAACCCAACAAGCCTAAAACCCTAAGAGCTCCACCTTTTTGCAGACCCACCCCTCAGGCACGGGCTCGCGGAGCACCGGCGGAGCCAACAGCTTCGGCTCCATACCTCGGATGATTTCAATTCGGAGGATGAAATGCACCTCTTTCTTTCAGGGTCTCGAGTTTAGGGGTTTTGGCTTTTGTCCAGTATCCCCCAAAAAAGTTAAAGGTTACCTACTCTACTACCGGGTCAAAGGTTTCTAGAGTGTTCCTTCATCAGGATTGCTTAAAGGGTCTACAAGGTCCGGGGGTTATGTCAACCGGCTTGGATCTGTTGTTGCTGTCCGGGATACTTTAGGTTTAGGGTTGAAGGATTTAAGTTCCAAAGTGTTTGGTAGACCCTTGATCACTCAACCACTTACCTTTAAAACCCTACTTGTAGCACCGAATAGGATCCCTGTGATCATCCTCATCACGGGACAGGGTGTATTAATCACGTCGCTACTGTAAGGCACTCTCATCAGGTTTTCCAACTGTTTTACAGGTCTTCTATAAGGATTCATAGGGGTTATAAGATCCAAAAGAGCTATGCAGTTTTGTGGTTTCGGGTCTTGGGCTTTACAGGCTTTCATGCCTCAGACAACCAACCGAAAACCTGGCGGAAGGCGAGGCCATGGCAAACAAAATCGGAAGAGGAGGATTTTGGGGCTCAAGGGTTTCGATCACGGTATGACTCTCAGGTTTTCAATTGTTCTTAAATTGCCTCGGTGTTCAGGCTCCATTCTTCAGAGTTGTAGGGTTCGCAGGGCTTCTTGGGGTGAGGGTTTTAGGGAAGCTTGTGGGGTTTCGGGTCTTGCTAAACCTTGCTGGTGAGCGTAGGTCGGGCCCTGCCTGCCGAGGTGATAAAATCGAAAGACACGTACGTTCGTGGCAGAAGGGCAGGGCTGGGCAGGGTAGCGCAGCACCGCCGAAAAAAGCCCTGACGGTCTTAGCCCCCAACCCACTACAGAACTGTAGAACCCTTTCCAGAACCCTTGCCCAAACCTTCCCTCTGAGCCCCGAGACGCTGCCGGATCTCCAGGAGCCTGCGCATAAACTTGGCGAAGGCGCTCAACGTAGAATCGAAATTTCTGAAAGCGTTCTATGACTTTTATGGTGGGTTTATAAGTATGGTAAGTTTGGGAGGTTGAAACATGATTTATCGGTCTTATAAGCATTCCACTCACGTACCCACCTGATAAACAAAAAGCCATCTCTTTCGAGGCCCATATTAGGATACCTGTATGAACCTGCAGGAAGCGCAGACTTTCTTGTTCGAGGATCTACATTCAGCTTGAGCTAAGCACTCACCTGCTTTTAGTGCCTTTCGGGTTCTGCGCTTCTGGTTAACTTCTCTCTCTCTCTCTCTCTCGATGTGCTCGCATGTTTGGAGATGTGTGTATCTTGGAGTTTTTGCATCGGGAAGGTGAAGCGGCCTGTTGATTTCTTGCAGGCTCGTTAATGAGATTTAGCCGGTCTCGACTGTCGTGTTTCGCAGTCTAGCTATTGGCGCATTACGTTCTGCCACTTTACGATTGGCAGGGCCCTTTGGAGCTAAGGCCCTAAAGCCCCTAACTAAAGCCCTACACCCTGAAGCCCTAAGTAAATAAAGCCCGAGCTCTGCCTGGAGGCGAGCCGCCGGCTCAGCGCGAGCAGGGCGGACTCGACGAAGACCATCCTCAGAGTTCGCTTGATTCGATGAAGGTTGAAGAATGGCTCTATAAGGGATACCAGGAAAGGTTTTGAGAGGGGTTCTACGAGAGCTCTATAAGGACGAAGGTTGCAGGGCCAGCTCTTCCGCAATATGTTCACGATGTGGGCTGCTTCCTCAATTTGTCTGCGTCTTTCAGATTCTTTCTCGTCGTTTGCGCTGCCTCCTTCCAGGTTTGTTGCGCGTTGGCCTGAGGCCACGGACCTTTTGGAGGAGTTTCGCTCGTACGCACGGGATACGGTGCGGGATACAGCAGACCGTTACGGCTGCGGATTCTGTTGCGGCAGAGGCGCTACACGGGTTCTGGGTTCCCAAAAACCTCTTTTCACACCTCTATAAGGCATAAAGGCTGTATGATGCTTCTATATGGGTGCTACACTCTATTTTCTACAGGGGTCTAGCAGTGTAGGGGGATTCTACGTCTTGCTTGGAAGGGTCTAACAGTTGGTTGTTTTGTCGGCATTCGATTTTCGCAGGTTCGGAGTCTCGAGGTGGAGGGTGGTTCGTCTCCCTGTCTATGCTTACGAGAAAGTTTGTATAAATCCAAACGTATATGCATATACATGACTGCCTGGGTATAGGCAGAGGTGTGTTTAAGTACATGTAAAAGTATGTGTAACTGTTTTTTCGTTTGGGTTGGCATTCATGGCATCATGCTAAGGTTTATCCTCATCATGGTCATGATGATCATCACCACCCCTGGCAAGCCGTCCAACACCCCTGACATCCTAAAATCGTAAAGCCTTAAACCCCTGAATGCATCACCAAGAAGCACGGATAGCCTGAGGAAACAAAGCGGCGATGGAAAGAACTTGGGTACTATCCACGAAACCCGCAACCTCAATCCCGAAACTCTACCTCTCTTGTAGAACCTGTAAACGACAAGACACAATCAATGCCTTAGCACCCTCTAAAGCCCTATGAGGAGACTTCACAAATCCCTTGCAAAACCACTAGTGCCCCATTCGTTATCAAGCCCTAACAAGTCCCCATAAACTATATGGCCCTATCGAGCCTTCTGAAGCCCCGAAATCGGCTCCATGAAACCCAGCAGCACCAAAACTCGTTCCGAAGTCCGCAGCGCGGGTTCCGGGGCTCCGGCCGGAAGCTTCCAATTGGCGCGGAGCCTTCGCGGCGCGTCGACATGGGTTTAGGGTTTTAGAGATTGGCATCATACAAATTGACTGACATACATATTCTACCAAAATGTTGTAAAGTCACAATAAATAGCCTTACCAGTTCTTCCAACCTCATGGGATTGTCTGGGTCATGAGGGGGTAAGACTTCCACTTTGGAGCTGGTGTCAGGGGGTCTTCCGTGCACCCCTACACCCTAGTATGAGTCTTATTCGACGCCACACCGTGGAAAGCCCTGAAGCCGCCCCGGACCTTCGCCCCGCTCGGCGCCGGCACGGCGCTGGTTCTCGAGGACCCGGAGGAATCTGGCTTGATCCTGGGTGTACAAACGTTTGCGTACATAATTACTCGTCCTACGTACGCAATATGTATGCATGCGCGCATGTGTATGTACGCGAGTATGTCGGTGCACATGTATGTGTGCACGTATGTGTGTATGTGTATGTATGCACGTAGGTATGTATGTATGTATGTATGTATGTATGTATGTATGTATGTACGTATGTAAGTTTGTATATATATATATATATTACATGTAAACATATGTGTATATATATATATATATTGTTATCTATTTATTGATTCATCTTTGATATTTATATTTATAGCTATGTTTATTTATTTTTGTATGCATGCATGCGTGCGTGCGTGCGTGCCTGCATGCCTCGCTGTGTGTATCTCTGTATGCTGTTCTGGATCTTCGTGCACACGCTTGTGTGTGTGTGTGTGTCTGCCTGTCTATATGCATGTATCTATGTATGTGCATCTACATAGAAGGCTATGGCTATATTTGTACATCTACACATATACAAAACAAACTATATACATTATATACATATACACACCCATGTGTACATACATTGTTACACATATATATATATATACACATGTGTATGTATATATATATATATACATACTATGCACAGCTCTACTTGCAAGTTAGGCAACATACACACCCGCATTCAGGCATGCATGAATGCCTGCATATGTGCTTACACACAATATACAGAGATATTTAGTTGCAGCGATACTGAACATGATAGTCACGTTGCTGGAACTACTTTGCCAGTGTTTTGTTGTCTTCTGGCTGTTGCCAGTATGAATATGACTAACGCGAATATTTCTGCTATTATGCTGGTGTGTGCCAATATTGCTGCCATGATCTATATGCCTTTGCATTCTATCTATGTTACATAGTAATGATATTGGCCATAGCTGTTTTGCTGTTTTCTGCTAGGCTCCAGAACATCGACAGCGAGCTGAGATTTCCAGCATTGTCCCTCTCCGTTCGTAGTCCCGAGGTTTCAACTGCAGCACGACACATTTTGTCGGGATGCAGCCTTGCAGGTAAGACCGGTTAGAAGCAAAACAACTACAGTACTATTTACGATAGGGCCAATTCATGTACTTCCCCTCGTCCTCTGGGTAAAGTATTCTTCGCTGGGGGTGAAGGGCAGGATTCTGGAAGGACTCCTCGAGAAACCGTGGAGCTACTGGCTGCACTTTCCAGATACGGGCTTAATTCCGCAACATTTTACGAGCGACAGCGCTTTTGAGAATTAAAGTTGTGTCCTTGATTCAGAGAACTGCACGGCGTCAGAATCATCACTGCCGCCCAAAAGAAGTCGGCTGCACGCCAGTGCAGCCCTACTTCTAGCCACATAAGGAACACAAGGCACAAACCAAACAGAACGCTACTTGCACGTACCCATGAATCTTCAAGCAAGCACGAAGCCCTGTAAGGAATAACAACCAAGTTCACAACACTCTATAAACCCCTATAAAGACTCTACAGGACCCTTCAGAGCCCTGCAAACTCCGATAGAACCCTGACACAAAACCCAACAGAACGCTACAGAATCTCAAAGCCCTAGAAAACAGAATCTGTACAGAACTTGAGATAAACCTATGGTTTTTCCGTAACTCTAAACCATAATTAAACCCCGAAGCCCTGAACTTGCTGTTAGCTCAGGACCTCGCCCGGTTCCCTGGACCGAAAAGTAGCGCCCGATCCTGCTTTCGGTGTTTAGCGCGAGATAAACACAGAGGTTCAGGGTTTAGGGTTCAGGAATAAAACCAGGGAGTTCAGGACCAGTTCAGGATTTGGGAGCTGTGGGGTTTACGGATGAATCACAAGCGCCCCTGTCTTTGAGGAACACCCAGTTTGGGGTCTGGTGCGAGTTAAGAGTTGAGGGTTTGGGGGGATCTCACAGTAAAAGGGTTTAGGGCCTTTTAGCAGGGATTAAGGGTGCGCCTGTTGGGTTTAAGTTATTTCCGTTTAGCGTTTGAGCTAAGAATTTTAAGTTAAGGTACAGCACAGCACACCCTAGGGCTTGGGGCCCTTAGTGTTTGTAATGGCGGCCGCTAATGCTGGTGCTGCGCCGGGACTGCCTTGATCCCAACTGTTTTTTCTCACTCCCTCCGCTGAACGGACTCCTTTGCATGCATTGAAGGAACTGCTCTTCCTTGCCTCTGTCAGACCAGCAGTCTGACATTATCGCTTCCTTGCAAGAGTCCCAAGATGACACTCTCGGCAGCCTCCTCCACTACGGCGCGCACACCGCCGAGTCCGATGAGGAGGCCCGCCTGCCTGCAGGACAAGGAAACATGTGGCGCTGAGGAACTTGGTTTTCCAGAAACGGGGTATGTAGCCCTAGATTGTAAATCCTAAGTTGTATGTGAAAATAAACGGCTTTCCTTATCATGGCAGGTAGCACAAGGATGCATTCTTGGGACTGTCCGGCATTCGCTACAATATGAACCTCCAAAATCCATGCACCATATATGTTCCCGCGTCGCCGCGTCAGTGGCCCCCCTCCCACCCCGCATGTCTTATTTGGCTTGATGTTTTGTTTCGTTTTTCGTACGGTCATTCTATGCTCAGTTTCGGTTGGCGGCTGGGTGCGTTAAAAAATCAGCCCGAGCATGTGTCATTCAGGACTCTTGAGCAAGGGACCGGAGGAGCGGGCGGACCGGGGGGAACCCACACCACAAGGAACCACAGGGGGAGGGGGATACCATGGGGTGGGCGGGGGGAAGGGGCCTGGCAGCGCTGCACCGTACATGCGTGTCTTGCAGAAGGCCCTGTCTTCCATGGCAATCACGATTACTGCAGGGGGCTTGTCTGCGCGCTCATCATCATTATCATCAACAGCATCATCACCATCATCACCATCGACATCAGTATCGTCATCATCCTGACCAGCATGAGAGCGATTGACACCAACATGCACATGGATTTCGTGCATGAGATCGAAACAGCAACTCTTAAAGCTCCGAAACGCGCCAAGCAATCCCAAGCCCTTGACTAAACTGGCCGAGTAGCATAATACGTTGAAGCGCGAAAACCCAATCCCAAAGCCCTAAAGCGTCTTTCCAGAACACCCTAGCACCGCCCAGGCCTGCTGGAGAGCCTTGGTAAGCCGGCACTTGCAAAGGTGAGTGCAGGATATTGGGGAAGAGTTGGAAATAGACCTGTCAATATATTTTCTACACGCACGTACGTACGTACGTACGTACGTACGTGCGTGCGTGCGTGCATGCATGCA